CGGACCGGCCCATTAATGGTCCGGCCCAGCGGGATTCGTCCCGATTGTCCCGATTACCCACTCCGCCCTTGTAAGTAGCCGAGATCATAAAAATGAATTTAGCTGAAAAAAGCTAGAATTTGCTGAAAATAGCTGAGAAGTAGCTGAAACTGTAGGAAGCAGCTTAAAGAAGCATAAAAACCTTAAATGAGCAGAAAGAAGCTGATAGATGCCCCCAAAAATTTACTTAGCAGAAAAGCTGGGAAGAGCAGCAAGCTAGCTGAAAAAGCAAAAATAGCTAAAATGAGCTAAGAAGAAGCTGAAGGAAGCTGATATAGTCAAGAAGTATAAAAAAAGCAGAACCAGATAAGGTAAAAAGTGCAGGAAAAATTTAGCTGTTATGAAGGATTTTGAAGATACAGAAAAGAGCCATAAGAATTATCACTAAAAAGGATTACAACCATCAAATACATTATTTTGCAAACTGAACATTTTTAATTTCTATGATTTGGTTGACTATAATACGTATTTTACTGTTTATGTACAAGGCTCACAGAAACATATTACCTTCCAACATTCAGGCAAACTTTGTTAAGAGAGACAGTTGTTATTATCTGAAGGGGAAGGAAATGTTTGTGAAGCCATATAAGATGTACTCTAATCCAGGGCATAGGATTATGGAATGGTCTGGAAGATGATCTTAAAAATTCCAGATCTATGTACATACAGTATTTAAGAGACAGATAAAAGCTAGTTTTCTGAAGGTTTATGGGAAAGTAAAATGAGAAGCTATATGAATTGTTGTTTGAGTTGATGTTTTTATTTTTATTTACGGTAGTACTGTTTTGTAAATTATGTTTTGTTTGAATATATTCTGAGGATAAAAGCGGTAGACATTATAAGATTTATTCTTCTGCTACCTTTCATTTTATTTAGGTTTTTGATTTGTGTATGTTCTTTGTTTTTTTTTTTATTGTATATAGTTATTTTTAAATGAAATCAATAAGTTTTTTGAACTGAATTGAACTGAAAACAGAACAAAAATGGCAGAAAAAGCTAAAGATATCAAAAAATATAAATTGCTGAAATACCAAAAGTCATAGCTGGAATGTCCTGAAGGAGCTGAAAGTTTTGATACATGAATTGTTGAAATAGCATAAAAATTGCGAAACGAGATATGTGCCGAAAAATTGATTGGAAGAAAATGGATAATCTCAATCCAATAAAATCCAATAAAATTATGAATAAGACTAGAAAGTCTTTTTTCTGCTTAGGTGTGATTTATGACTCTTGGAGAGGAAAATAAAATTAAAAACAGTGGATAACTGTTGTTCTACAGGGAAATGACTTGCTTCAGGAAAATTAAAGCTACATTTGGTTGTGGTGTTCCACCGGGATCCGTCCTTGGTCCCTTTTTATTCCCTTTATGCTTGTTGGTTAGACAGGCTGTTTCTATACTAAACTACTTAAAAATGTCTGAATCTTAACTTCTATACACAAATTTTATTGGTTTCATTCAAATGTACTTCATGCCTACATGCGATAACCACGCATTTATGTAATATTTTAGTTTTTTATTATTAAGTCAGGGAGCTTGAATCCTCACCGAACAGTCTCAGCAGTTTTGGGTCGACCCTCATCAGGGTCAGCGACACTCCTGCCATCTCCAGTGAGGTCATGAACGACCCGGACATCACCCTGGCAACCGTCACGCCACGACTCTCTGCAAACGTTAAAAACCACCCGTGACCTTACGGAGAAGGAGCAGAACCGAGCTGTGGGTTCTGTTTCTGTTAAAGCAGCTAATGTTTTACTGTGAGTACATCCAGACACGAGTATGTGAGTACAGAATAAACCCACAGTCTCTACTCACCCAGGCAGGTGATGGCTGCTCTGGTGACCACGCCCATCTCCAGGTGAGATAGAGCTCCGAGGTTGTTCACACACAGAACAACACTGTCTCCTGCGGGGAACGAGACAAAAATCACATTTTCACTAAAACAAGTTTTTACTACAAGAAAAACAACTAGTCTGAATGAAATACTGAAAGCATATTACTAAATTAACACTACTAGTACTAGTACTATTAGTTGGGTACAACAATTATTACTACATTTTTGAATAGTAATTAGAATTGGTTATACAGTATTATTACTTTTATAATTATTTACTATATTATGACTAGTATAGGTAGTATTAATACTACACCACTCCTAGAGATATTACTTACTTGTACTACTAGTACTATAACTATACTAGAACAAGTCCTATTAGGGCTGTTACTATACTAGTATGACTAAAATTACTACTGTTACTATAATATCACTCTTACAAGCACTAATAGTATAATATATTTATACTTACACTAATACTATATTAGTACTAATAATAGTAGTAACATTACTATAATAATTTTAGTACTAGTAGCACCATTACTAGTTGGGTAAAAACAAAGGTAGTTAGTAACTAGTTACATTTACTCAGTTAATTTAGGTGTAGTTTTACTACACTGTATTATTTCCTTTACTTAAGTAAAAATACATTGAAATAGTGTTATTTTTAAGCTTTGGGGTACTCTGCCCAACTCTGGGTAAAAGTAGTACTATGCTAAGTCTAGTATGGGTCTTACTAATACTACAATAGTCCTATTACCAGTACTAGTATTAGCAGCTCAGTTACAATACTATTACGTCCACAGATATCACTACACTAGTACTATTAGTACTACTGCTATGTTACTACTACTAAAAGTACTAATAGAATAGCTTTAAAACTAGTACTAGTTTTAGTACTTATATACTAGTACTAATATTTGGAAGTTTTAGAAATATACTGGTACTATCAATAGAACTACAATTACTTTAGCAAAATTAGTACTAGCAGTACAATTACTGTAGTAAAATTAATAATGTTAGTAGGGTTACTATGGTATTACTGGTACTAGTAGTAGTGTTACTGTGGTAATATTAGTATTATTAGCAGTATTACTGTGGTAATATTAATATTATTAGTAGTATTATAGTAATATAGGTACTAGTAGTACTATTATAGTTGTGTAATAGTTGTATAATAAAGTCTGCTGTAATTAGAACAGTAGAAGAAGAAGAAACAGGAAGTGTTGCGTGCATCATGTCAGTAAACTGTTGGACCTGAGCTCAGCGGCAGATGTGATTGGCTGTCAGGGTTGGTCATGTGATCCATCATGGTCTTCACCACCTGGTCTGCAGACGCCACCTGAGGGACGAGAACCGACTGAATGTTTTTAAAAACTAAACACCTGGAAGGTTTTACTGGCTGAATTCTGACTCACCTTTGATCTTTTGATTCCTGGTTCTCCATGGATTCCTGAAGGACGGATGAAAAAACACAAATCAGAGACTTCCTGTTCTGTCTCGCTGTCAAACACAAACACAGTTACCTGATGAAAAATAAACCAAAGGAAATCTTAATACGTTTTCCTTATTACTGGACACTTTGTCATTTTTATGTCTATACAGACATACCTGACATGTTTCCACGAGTAACTTCCGTCTTCATCAGAGGTGTCACAGCTGATGTTGATTGGAGGTGGTGTCGGCTCATCAATATATATTGACAAGCCGACAGCGCCCCCTGCTGGCTTCACTGCTGGAGGATGTCATGTCAGGTTTGTGAGAGCTTGTAGGCCGCCTCATCCCGGTTCATAGCTGTGTGGGCTCGCTTTCTGATCTCCATCGCCTCCATGGTCCAACGCTGATATTTGTTGTCCTCTCTGCGGATGATTCTGGTTCCTTCCCAATCCATAACATGATTTTCCCTTTTGTAGCGGTCCGTGATGGCTGATTTGTAATGTTCTTGTAAAGCTTGTTCTTTTTTGGATCGTGTTAGTCTTTCTTCTGTTTCTTTCTCACATTCTTTTTGACGTTCTTTCTTCCTTGTAGCCAAGGATCGTCCCGTCTCTCCTATATGTTTTATTGCAGGTATGGCATGGTATTTCATATGTGACCCATCACATCGAAACGAGGATTAATTCCAAAAGTTGTATATGGAGAAATAGGCAAATATAGTGTTTTGACTAAAATGTTAACAAAAACTGCATTTTGTCAAAACATAATGAATAAAAGCCTTATTAATGTATCATTTGAATGAACAGTCTGAAATATAATACTAAAACTAAATTTTGAAGCACTTTTTCGAGCAGTAGCAACAAAAAAAACTGATTTTGAGGAAAAACGCCTTAAAATGTTGAGATTTTCTCTGTGAGCTAGCAAAGTTTTGTTTCTTTTTAGCTAGTAAATCTCAATATTCAAATATAATTTGAGGTTTCCTCTTTATAAGGACATCAAAAACTCCTCATTAAAATTACGTAAAATTAGGATTCAGACCAAATATTTATGTATTATTGTAACCAACAAGAGAAATTAAGTCATATATATGGATTTAATTATGACATCAGAATTATGACATTCAGCCTCTCCTTGGGCTGCTACCTTATCGTGGTGGAGGGGTTTGAGTGTCCCAATGATCCTAGGAGCTATG